TCAGCTATTTGGCTGGCCCTTCAACAGCATCTTAAATTACACACAATAATGTGAAAGAACAGTTTTTATATTTGTTTTGCAAAAATTTGAGAGATTTGTACTTTCAAATTACAAAACCAGTGCACAAAACGAAATCCTAAGAGGTATCTGAAATGTTATGATAAAGCACAACAAAAATTAGCATGAATATATTTGTCCACCAATATGCACATACTTAAATGATCTTAGCAACTGACATTTCATTATGGATTATGTGAGAATACCTACTAAGCTTTCCAATTACTGGACTTTAGAAAAAGCTTTAAATAGCCAGCTGATAAATCAGTGACAAAGGCAGCTGCCTGAACCTGGACCTGGGCTGGGGAGCAGCAGCCTGGCTGGCCCACGCGCTGCACTCCCAGCCTGGCTCTGTGCCCAGCGGCGGCGGCAGCAGTGCCGCCAGAAGCCCCCGAGCCCGTGCTTGCGGCCGCTGGTGCCCACTCTGTGCAAATACGGTTTCCAACGGAAGCTACTTTACAAACTAAATGTCTGTCCCCCATCCCCAAGAGTCACATGTGCAGGCGATGATTTTAGCTTTAAGAAATGTATTTTTGGTATTGGTAATACATTTTATATTTTTATATAAAAGGTATCTGTAGAATAACCTACACACAATTATAGAAGGATATAAATACTTCAAATACAAAAACTGTGTGCTATTGAAGATCCTTAGCAAGACAGTCACACATTCATTTTATAGATAATTATAAAGGCCACAAAATTTTTAAAATCTTTATTAAACCATATTAGAATTACAAAGTCTTTACTTAAAACCCCTCAATTTTGGTACTCAAATAGAGAATGCGCTGCAGCCCCCACCACCTGTGACCTGGCTCTGGCTCCGCTGGGCGAGGGGAGCTGGAGGCAGAGGCGAGCGCCAGGCAGGCCACGTGGTGGGACACGGCCGCTGGCCGCACACAGCCAAGGCGCAGGAGCGCGGGAGAGTGAAAGTGCTTCGCGGGCGAAGTGTTGCGAATTATTTGTTTTCTTTTGGTACAAGGAATCCAACACAGGACCTCGAGCCTGCCAGGCAGGCTCTCTAATTCACTCCTAAGTGCCGGAAGCATCACTTAACAGAATAACTTTATTAGGAGCTGGCTAAACTCCTTGTTTGGACCAGCTTACCATATTGTCAGCTATCTTACACATGTACATAATGGTCAGGAGAATTTAAAGACAGCTTCCTGTTTTAATCTTTTCCTTTAAGATGTGAGACTTCATTTTGCTTCAATTACTCTGTGGACACATCAAAAGTAAATTAAATAGAAACTGCATATAAAAACACTTGAGGCAGTGACATCATGATCTGGAACAACTGAAGTTTTCTACTTCTTGCTCCATTTTCTGTATAAAGGGTAGGAAGAAAAACAGAGTAAGTTTTAATACAAATAAAGAAATAATTCTATTTTTCCCCCAATAAGTACCCTTAAGAATAGGTATATCTGTATATCTATATATAAATAAAAATAAAAACTAGCTCTTGCAAGACTAACAGACTTTAACTGATGGGACTATATTACCCACTAGTGGGCACAGGGGTAGTGGGCACAGGGCAGGTCCCATTTTCCATCTTACAGACAGGACAGTATGTATGTATCGTCCAGTATCTACTTCTCTTTTTGCAGAACCGGGGATTGAACTCAGGCCCCTGTGCTTACCAGGCAAGTGCTTATTCCACTGAGCCATCTCCCCGGCCCCTCTATTTCAAAAATTAGCATTTTAATGTCTATAAAATAAGACTAAGGACAGGTAGGTCTGTCTTTAAAAATCTATCTGAGGCCAGGTATGGTGGCACATGCCTGTAACCCTACCACTCGGGAGTTTGAGGCAAGGATTGCTTTGAGGCCAGCCTGGAACGCATAGCCAAAACTTGTCTCAAAAATACCAAAAAACAATAGTTGCATTCTCTTAATGAATAGAATGATTTTTTCTAATGGTGTTTGTAAGTAGGATCACAAGTCTGCATCTTGTACAGCAATTAACCACTGAGAAGAATGTATGCAGTGTATTATTTGTTGAAACTGTACTTTCGATTTGATTTGAAACTGTCTCATTGCTATATGTTTATCAATAAAACTTTGAAAAGAAAAGAAAAAAAAAAACAAAAAACAAAAAACAAAAAAACCAAAAAAACAGAACAAAAAACCTATCCAAAGATGGGTTGGTGACACACAACCTGTAATCCCAGCACTTGGTACTGAGGCAGGAGCATTTCTGTAAGTTTGAAGCCAGCCTAGACCATACAGTGAATTCATTCCTGACTAAAACTACACAGAAGACCCTGCCTCAAAAACCCATCTGAAAAGGAGTTGTGTATCCTCGTTAAAGCCATCACCAAAGGTGTACCTGGATAAGCGCAGTTTTGTCATAGTCCTTGCGATGCTGATAAATACACTGGCTGATTACTGCATACAAGTTTTCCAGCTGAAATACATTGTAGCCTTCACTTTTGCTAACAACAGTCTTCAGAAGATTCTAAAGGAAAACACGAGTGTTTGTGAACATGAGGCAAATTCCTCGAGAAGAGCAGACTGTAAAGTCACGACAGTTTTAGTATCTAAGCCAGGAAGAGGGCAGACCAGGCACCGACGGCACAGGGCGCTCTGGGCATTTGTTGTCATGGTGCTCTGAGCAAACTCGTTTATAGTACTGGCCAGCAACTGACATATGAGTGGAACATTACCATTATGTGGTGCTCCTGGCAATGCCTAGCCTTAAAAACTACCGCGAAGGACTCTGCCATTTTCAATTCCAGCCCTAAAGCTCTGCTGACAGCTGCCGGGAACGGAGGTGCGCTCCTACAATCCTAGCAGCAGCAGGGAGGCTGAAGCATGATCTCTGGCGAGGCCAGCCTCAGTACCGTATTCTCCCAAAGACCTGACTAGAAAATAGACCTTAGCATGTTTGCTCAGATGCTTGCAGTAAACACATGACATACTTAATTATAAAATAATAAAATGACATTAGTATTTAAATAAATAACTAGGTATTTACAAATACCCAAATGGGCACTTCTGGACAAGATGTAAGTACATACACAGATGAACTTGAGCCTTCCTGCCGAAGTACCTACTGGAGCAGACCCTCAAATGCTGTGCGTACTTGATAACGAACGTGGCTGTGTCCAGTACGGATCCTCACGGCCCAACATGTGTGCTGTACAGATGTACTTAATGCACTAATGTGAGAAAGGTTTTCTGAGTTCTGGTGTCTGTAATTTTCATTGCTGTCATGTGGACCTTCATTCTTTTTTTTTTTAAAAGTTTTCTTTTCTTTTTTTTTTTTAATTTATTTATGTGTGTGTGGCCAGCTCAGCCCAACAGGGGGCGCAGCTGGCTGGCATGTGGTGCTGGGGGATTGAACCGCAGTCCCTGTGCTTTGCTGAGCTTGTTCTAAGTAGGTGCTTTAGACCACTGAGCCATCTTACCAGCCCCTGGACCTTCATTCTTAACTGTCCCACTTTTGTTGCCACGCCTGTCTCCTAAGTCTTCAGTGAACACTGATTTAATGGAAACTTTGTGAAGCCAGCCTGCACCAGGTCGTGCCTTGGGCGAAATAGGTTGCTGACAGCTGCATTGAGAGCAGGCTGCACAGACAGGAAGGGCTCATTTGAGGCGAGCTTGGTTGCTGGCCACAAGGGATGGAGGACAACGCTTCCACAGGAGATGGGCCGCAAGACATTCAGGCCACAATCCAGGGTTCAGAGTTATGATAAAGAAGATATGACTCTTTTGGAATAAATGTTGATTTTTCTTTTTTTTAAATGTGTTTTGGCACAGGGTGTCACACTTGCAGGAGTGATCCTCCTGTTTTCAGCATCCCCAGTGCTGAGGTTATATGAGCGCCAGCCACCATGCCTGGACTCTGGCTGGCTCAGAGAACCTGGGGGCGGGGCCAGTGCAGCATGTAGTGCTAGGGAACAAACCTGGTCCCTGCCCCTGCCTGAGCAGGTGCTTAGCTTAGTCCACTGAGCTATCGCACCAGCCTTTAAATGACATTTTTTTTCTTTTCTTTTTTGGTGGAATGGGGATTGAACTCAGGTCCTTGTGCTTGCCAGGGAAGTGCTTATTCCACTGAACCATCTCCCCAGCCCCTACACAATGGCTTTTTTTTTAATGTCAATTTTTGTACATGGAAAAATATAAGACATCCCCAGAAAATAAACACTATTGTGTCTTTTGGAACGAACATTAATATAAGACCTGGCCTTATTCTCAGGCAAATGTGGTACACACGGTAGCAAGACCCAGTCTCAAACCATCCCCCTCACCCCCAAAATCTCTATAGACAAATTTAAAAGTACCATCAAATTAGCATGGAGGAAAAAGTAACTTTGGCTGTGTAATTCATGGCAGTTTAAGTGTATAACTAACTCAATTATGTGAAACTAAGAACAGTACTAACAGCATATAACGGTGAACTACTTTACCACTTCAGTGTTTTGGAGTTTGTTTTGTTTTTAGAATTTCCCACCCTGGCGTTTTCCCCTCAAGATTGAAATGGTAAGGGGCATTACAGTTTTTCTAAGCATTGCCCTACTAGGATGAGCCATTGCAATCAAGTAAAAACAAACTGAAATGCTAAATCATAGACAGAAAAATCAGGTACAGAAGGATGGTAGTGGTGGCACATGGCAGTAATTCCAGCACTCTGGGAGGCTGAGGCAGGAAGACTGCTAAGTTTGAACCTAGACTCAAACTCAAAAAAAAGCTGTGGATGTAACTCAGAAGGAGGAAAGTCTTGGGTTTTCCCCCAAAAGAACAACAACAACAAAAAGTATGAGAACAATGAATTAGGTAAGTGTGTTAAAAACTATAAAGTAAGTTGGGTATAGCAGCTTATGCCTACAATCCCAGCACTTTAGAGGCTGAGGCAGGAGGATCAACACAAGCTTGAGTCCAGACTAGATTACACAGTGAGTTCAAAGCCAGCTGAACTGCACAACAAGACCCTGTTTCTATGGCCTGGGCAGATAGCCTGAGGAGCACAATGTTCCAAGTTCAATCCCTGGTACCGCAAAAAAAGACCCTGTTTCAAAACACCCAACCAACCAACCAACCAACCAATAAATAAATCCCGACATCAAAAACGATAAATCAACAGGTTAGTTATCTCCAAGCACCACCTCCACACATGGGGGGGTCCTGACATCCTGCAGAATGCTCTGGTGGGCTAAGTACTGGTGCAGGAAGTGTCAGTGATGGTGGCTTGGCACTGACTGTGTGAAACACCTGTGCCCCAAGTGCAGCAGAGCTGGAAGCGTCACTACAATCACTCAGGACTGCAGTAAACCACACAAAGCCCATCTGCATATCCTGAGAGTTCTAAGGGTATTCAGTGCTGCAGTTTCTTTTTTTTTTTTTAACTTTTTTTTTAAATTTTATTTATTTGTGTGTGTGTGTGTGTGTGTGTGTGTGTGTGGCCAGCTCAGGCTGGCATGTGGTGCTGGGGGATTGAACCGAGGTCCCTGGGCTTTGCTAAGTTTGTTCTAAGTAGGTGCTTTAGACCACTGAGCCATCTCACCAGCCCCCAGTGCTGCAGTTTCTAAAGGGACTGTTGACAGTAATTTTTTTTTTGAGGACAGCTCCAGTCATACCACGGTTTTCTCCTCCTCAGTACGGGTGTCATGCTGTCACCACAGCAGATCTGATCACTCAGAACAGGGTGCCCGGGCAGGGTCACCGTACCTAAGAGGACATCCTGCTAATGCACTGCGCTCTTATCTGTACAGATAACGTGGCTCTGGCAAATGCTACACCAGGTCTATGGATCAATGACTCCTGCTCCAGTCGGCATGCTACACAGCCTCAGACGGAATTCCTAGCCTATGACAGGGACAGGGCAGGGGAGCAGAGGAAGTGCACAGGAGGAAAGCTCTGGTTTCTCATCCAGCTCCCACACTGCCGGCCGGCCGGCTGCTGCTGCTGCTGCTGTCTAGTGTCTGCAGAGTACTGGCGTGCGAGGGAGGGCACCAGGATTTCAGCCACATACATTGAGTCGCTCGGTGTCCACCACGAGTGAGGGAGTAGGCTGAGAAAGAATCGCCAACGCCTTCTCCACGCTGATGAGCTGCTGCTGCTCGACCTGGGAGTGTCTGGCTCGAGTCATTCGCAGAATGCATGTTTCTAAAATGAAAAATAATTATGATGGTTCACAAAAATGATGTGCAAGATATGTATTATTCAAATCAAAAATAACAGCCAGCCAGGTGTGGTGGCACACTCTGCAAGTCCTGAACTGGGAGGCTGGGCAGGAGAGTGTTGGAAGTCTGAAGCCTGCCAGACCCTGTTTCCAGGAAAATAAATTTACTGGAAGTTCACAGTTCTGCTTATTAACTCTGTTGTCAGATTATGACACTGACACTCAAATCTAACATAAGGAGTTAGGTGTGGTGGGACATGCCTGCAACCTAGGTGCGCTGGGAAGCTGAGGCAGGAGGACCCGAAATTCAAACAGCCTGGGCAACTCAGTAAGACCATGTCAAAAAAGGCCTGGAGACATAGCCGAAGCAAGGGCTGTAAACTCCCACCAGAGGGCAAACCCTAGCCCACCACAACGAAGTCAATGATCATACAGTCATACAGCTACATCCACTCCCCCCAGCAGGGCAGAGTATTTGTGACATAGGCCACACGCCCCCTGCCTAGCCTTTCAAAGAACAAGTTCACTGATACTTGTTCACAGAATGCAACTTGGTCTAGGAAACTTATTGAGTCATAAATAAGAAAAATGAAGTAACACAAAGAGACTCTGTAAGATCATGCATCCAGTTGTCCTAAGAGCCAGGACAAGAACCTCTTGATGTCTATTCACTGTCCCTATTAATAGTAACCTCATGACAAAAAAAGATGATTTAAGAAAAATTGAAGAATTCAGATTCCAAATAACACCCATTAAGCTGCCAGAAGATTAATATTTTTCACATTTTTTAAGTGCATTTCACTATCGGACTCGTAGTGATCCTGTTTTCAGCCTCCCAAGGGCTGGGACTACAGGCATACGCCACCACACCCAGTCTCCAGAAGATATTTATTTATTTTGCAGAACTGGGGATTGAACTCAGGACCCTGTGCTTGCCAGGCAAGCGCTTATTCTTACTGAGCCATCTCCTTGGCCCCTAAGATTAATAGTTAAAGTAGCTATGTTAGGGTTGAGAAAGTAGATCAGTTGGTAGAGACCTTTCTTAATCTACATACTGAATGTGTTTGATCCCTAACACCACAAAATATAATTTTGTGACAGTATTGCTATATAATTCAAGTTGGTCCTGAACTTACTATGTAGCTCAGGATAGCCTTGAATTCACAGCAGTCCTCCTGCCTCAGCTTCCAAGTGCTGGGATTCCAGCCATGCAACACCACACCCGTCCAGCACTCAACAGTAGAAAGAGCACAACCTAGTCAACTGTTTCCATGACTATTCACATCTGAGCTCAATACCTTTCTACGATACATTCTGGACCCTACTATCAATCTTTTGTACGACTAAATAATGGTATACTTTCTCAAAATCCACACAAGCCTTGCTGTGGGGCAGCACTGTTTACAGTCTTCCAGCATACTAGGCAAGCGCTGTACAACTGAGGTTACACCTCAGCCCCTCCAAATCCAAACAGATCTACTGCCAAAGGCTCAAGAAGATCCAAACAAATACAACTGTGACCACAAGAGTAAATAAGGACCCTCCTGAGCTGATTGCAAGGAGGGATAGAGGGACGGGGTGGCTGGGAGCTGTATCACTCAGCAATCACTGCCTAAAACCACTTAGCTTAAAAATGAGAGGAGCCTGCCTGGGCTTTAAAGCTGAGACCTAGGCCCTGGGCTTCATGCTTTCCATGGGTTCTTTCCATTTCATCCTTCTTGCTGCCCAGCACCTATCGCCCCTACTTTTGCAGATGAATGAGTAAGCAGGCTACCAGGCTAAGTACCTTGCCCAAGTGACCTGGGGACCTAACGCCAGAGGTCTGGCCAATGCCAAGTGTCATTAAGAGAACAGTGACCAGGCCAGGCAAAGCGGTGCATGCCTAGAGTCCAGCTTGAGGCAAGAGGATCACAGTGAATTCCAGACCGTCTGGGCTACGAAGTGAGCTCAAGGGTAGCCTGAATTGCATAGCGAGACCGTCTCAAAAAGACAAAAAAACAAAAATAGTGATTTACTACTTCACAGCTAACTAAAAGTATTATTTTTGAAGTGAGCGTACATCTAGACTCTGAAGACTAAGCAAACAGCCATAAGCTGCTCCATGATACATGCCTTGTAGCTGAGACTCACCTTCTGCTTCATTTTTATCGAAAGTACCAACTGCCCGAGAGCTGGAAACATCTCCATCGCAAACAACCTTCTCTTTTCTCCACTCCACACATGCCGCAGCCGTCTTGGAGTCCAGCTCCCTCTCAGTACTCCGAGTCCCAGAGCTATGATTTCCCAGTGTGGTTTTGCTCTCAGGGGCAAGCTGGTCCTTCTCATTTTCTTCTAGTGAAGACTCTCCCGTGTTTCCATTCTCATTCTGGTCCACGCTCGTGTCTCGAGTTTCCTCAGTATCGCTTTCCATCTTACCCTCTGCTGTGTTCTGGCAATTCTCCTTTGCCTGTGAAATCTTCCTCCTCTTTGTTATGGTGCCTAAATGCCACTTGGACCTTTTGCGGTTTTTTCTTTTCAACTGAGCTTCAAGGAGTAAGAAAAAAAAAAAAATCACTCTATGACTTTCTAAATGCTAAGAATAAAGAAAAGCTGGAGACATAAGACAATAGTTTGAAGAATCACAGTATTTTTCTTTTCTTTTTCCTGCGGCCTGAGTGCAGGGCTGGTATGGCATGTGGTGCCAAGGATCGAATTGCGGTCCTGGCGCTTGCCTAAGCAGGCACTTTAGACCACTGAGCTATTTCTACGGCCCCACAGTATTTTTCTATGGTGGGATTATAGAAAGAAAAACAGAATACCGTGAGAATCTGAGGATACTAAGCTCATAAAGCAGCCTAT